CCGGAACGCAACCATGTAATCTTAATGTATCGCCCAGTGTAATAACGGTCATCTGTGCGTTTAAGTAGCCACAGTTTTTGTCATTTCACGATTTATTTTTAATTAAATAACTAGATTATGTTGTTAATTTTGCTCTGTTTTTAATTTTTATTCGCCACGTCTGACTGCGTTGCACTGTACGTTCATTGCATAGTTAGTTTAATCACATAGTTGATCGTTTCCAGATAGACCATGAGTGCGTAATGTTACTGAAGAAAGGTTTGTTGTACTGTAAACTATGTTTTTATGAACAACTGACTGATGTCTTCTGCCTGAAAGCAATATATATATATATCCTCTTTCTTCTGTTAGGTAAGTTCGACTGGTCTATATTTCGTGTTTTGGTTTTATCGGCTTAATTATTTCCATTTAACTACTTTGAGCAACATGTCTGTGCAAATGAAACAATAATTATGACACTTGCTTAGTTTAGTATTCTTGGTTGTCGTATAGTTCAATTTAGTCGGAAGAATAATGGTATACTTAAGTGCAGTGCTTGAAGCCTGTAACGAAACATATCGGTTTAGTAAGTAGAGCTTCCTGTTTCTAATGAGTATGTAGTGGCATTGGACAATAGCCATACAATCCACAAAGCTGTGAACACGAGACTACTCAGAAAATAGATATTCAATATTTAACCTAACGATGGACAAGGCGCGGAGAATGAATTAAATGGACTGGAGTTGATCGAGTGGCATGGCTCGGCCATTCAGGCGTGGTCACTGCCGAATATTACCTTATACCCTTTATTCATATTAAATATATTGTTCTTTCTCTAGCCTAAGCTTGTTCTTCATCATGTATTGGTAGTCGTTACGATACAGTGAGTTGGTGTAGTCGATGGTGTGACTTCCACGTAAGATCTTATAGACTAGGCAGTTATATCATGACAAATCTACAAATTTAGGATTAGGTCTATTATAAGAGCAGTACTAATATCATAGTAGACCATAAGTATACTGATTGAAATCAGTCTGATTGAAAATAGGAAAAAAATGCCTTCGGTACTGTTGCTGTCATACATTATAAGATAGCTTTGAGTATGTTTGGTGTTTATTTCTAGACTGTACATCTATCACTGACCATATTTCAAGATTACTGTCATCAAACAATTTCCCCAGCAATAACATCAGTAGCAGGATAGCTAAGCGCTTGAGCTTTTAGTTGGCCGCAAAACAGCAGTATGCAGTCGTAGAAGATGAGTGTTCTGTGTCTCAATTAAATGTAGCTGGCTGTGGATAAATGTTATGAATCTTTTTGACAAATGGGACTTTTAGTTTATCAGACACCAACTTTGCTTGTATGTCTTCGTGTTAAACTAGAGGCAGATGCATGGAAATACTTAAATGGGAGCAAAATAATAAAAGCACTGCGATACGGCACTAAGCCCATGTGATGCTTTGCACAAGTAATAGTAGCTGACCTGATCTAATATGCATGAACTCAAGGTAAATCACAACTACATAAATTCTTTGCTGAAAAACATGTAATTTGGTTATTTATCTATTCCACATTTCTGACCAAATTCATTGCTATTTTTTCATTTAGAATGTAACAGGAGTGAGCCTTCACAGATCCTAAGAACTGTTTCGCCACTAGAACTATGGCCCTATGAAATTTTACGGGAGACTCGACTAACAGCAGATTATAAAAAGGATGCTGGACGTCCATTTTAGTCTCACAACCACTTCCAGTACTTTTTGAGTTACTTCTTTTACCCTTTCGTTTGGAAAAAACAACAAAGACTGCAGCTTAACATTACCAATGCAACTTTTAAACGGGAACTTCGTTTAAACCTTCGTTTGATATTCGATTCTTAATAAAAGTTCCCTAATAAATTTTCAAATCTAATGCTACTTTGTTTTACCTACTTAATCGTTACAAGAAACTTGCCTCGCAGCACCTAGTTCACATGTAGTAAATTTAAGTGATTTAGTACATATCTTCGTCATTTGCTTGGCCCTCTCATAACTTAATCTAACCACCATGAGTTGTCACGGCAGCTGATGGACACACGTTATACATCCTAACCGTACCTGCGTCTAATCTCATAGCTTCTTATTCAAATGCCATATTATAGGCAAGCAATGCCCCTACCCGCACTAATGGAACACTAGTAACTCAAAGGCACCCTGCATGGTGCCTTACATTGGTCTACGTACTAGCTTAGTTCTTTAGTGAGAATATTACTACAGTTCTGCTAAAAATCCCATGAACCCCCTATCTTCATCAGAACAAATAAGTCTGTATTTGCTGCGTATAGCAATTTTATTTTTCTGAAGTAAGATATAACAGTTAGAATTAGAGTAAAATGGCAGTATAAACCAGATGCACGTGGTACATGTCTTCATCGATTAACTGAAATAGAGAATACGGATATTAGCTTAACAGGCTTATTTAGAAAGACTATTGTCTACTATGAACTTATTGCATGAGAAAGTTATACTGGAACCACGAACAATGTAGGAATCTAGTCTCACAGGGCGTACGAAGCACTCAAACTGGAAGACAGTTGTCCAAAAATAATTCGAATATGAAGGTGAGAATTTGCAGGTATTTTTCATCGTGCGGATGAACATATTAGGTCACGGTTGACACCATACCGTAAAAAAACACAAATTTGCGAGTGGTGAAATATGATCTATAAAAAAGTGAGCTTAATAACAGTGAATTACCTTTTTACTCTCTGATCAATACCCTTCGGCTTCCTTTTATGGCCAAAACAGCAAACATACACTACACACTGATAGCAGATTTCCGGCTTTCCAATGTTAAGCTTGCTTTAACGCACGACGTAATGAATACAACCCCTCCATTACTGTCATATGGCATATTTTTTATAACAAGCCCTTTGCAATAGACTGGTAGCATCTGTGACTCCGTCTATGGTTGTCGGAAGTCTAGGTCCTTTCGAAAACAACACTGATATCCCCTACTGCTGGGCACTCAGTATTAGTTTGACTCGTTGGTGGGGTGGTGTTGTCCATAATACTGAAGAAAATTAAAAACCGGAGATTGTTTCCTTTCATTTTGCCGATAACATCATAAAGGACAGTGTAGCGGTAAATAAATCCCCAAAATAAATAGCTCTGTAAGTTTTCGACATTGGATGCTGACCATATGTTTTAGTGGATTCATCTAGCTGAAGGCTCTCGGTTAGGCATCCTTACCAGATCACGTGTGGTAACGCCGTGCTCAACATCAACCGCAATCGCTAGCCAGATTAGATCAGAGAATTCCGTTATATTGGCTATCGCCAAATACACTTTTCTGATCTCCTCGATTCTGTCTTTTGATTTCTCTTGGTGGGTACGAGTTATATTGGGTGTTACTGGTAGAAGCGTTGTCAAACACTGAATACCTGTGCCATCTTCAACAGTTAGGAACGAACATGTGGACAGTTAGTCACAGGCGGCAGCAACAATTATTTTAGCTAAAAAAATGAACTTCGGCTTTGGATATCTAGGAAACAAGTTAAAACAAAACCGATTATCATCTTAAAACACAAGACTAGTCAGCTTGGCTGAAGAAGTACGTTGACTTGAGTAGAAGCAGCAAAAACCCAAAAAAGCAATACTGATTAGAAATAAATTTCACACCAACATATAGAACATTACACTAACTGCGGCATTTTAGCACACTGAAACATTAAATTACATAGCTACACAAAAGAAATAGCTGAAAAAAGCACAGAACGAAGAAAGCGGACCGCCATTGCTTACAAAGATGGCGGATATAATAATTCTCACTTCATTCTGATTGGTTGCTAAGCTGAATGGCACATTTACGAAAATGAGTTGAGTTTGAAAGTACCCGAGATTTTCCGTACTGATTATGATACCAGCATCAATCAGGGTTATCTGTCTTTCGTGATCTAAACAGATGCTTTTCGTGAAGTACTCCTTCGAGGAGTTTGTAGGTGTCTACGGTCATGACGAATACTAAGGTAACGTGTCTGAGTATGACAGGGTTTGTGACGTCATTTCGTTTCGGTTGAGGCTTTTGTTTGACTGAATATACCTCGGCGTTAGAAATCATCATGATCTCCAAAATCAGATCGGCAGATGCAGCTAGTTCGTCCACGGCGTTATTTCAAAATGAAACAAACATTGTTTACACCTGTTGATAAAGTTTAGACATGAAGAGCTGTCTAAACATGCCCTTGTCAAACCTCCGTTGATCCATGACCTTTCTCACTCGTAGAAACATGTCTGTTTTTGAGTCATGTTGTAGATTGATGTTGTTGAAGAGTTGATCTAACCTTTGTCGGTCTCCTCGTTTAAGAATAGCCTTTTTTAGTGTTTCGTAAGGTTCCGAGACATCACTTGTAAACATACTAGGTGTGACCTACCGTTGGAATCGCGCTGTAGTTTCTTCACTTCTGCGATAAATTATGCACGTGGGTCTGTTACGACGTGTTCGTGGAATTCAGCTTCTGCGTATCGGAACCAAGCGTCGATGTTGTCGGGCTGAAATGACGTTAACTGAAATGAGGATGGCGAAAAGGTCTGAAACTTAAGTAGATATAATTGATAGAATACGGATATACCGATAAGTGATTAATCTAGGCTGGTTAGAGGTTGTAGGAGATGTGAAGCACGGCGTACCCACTCGTGATCTGGCGCATATGCGTGACTGAGCGTCTTTAGCTTGATGAGTCCATTTAAACCAATGCGGTCAGCATCAAATGTCGAAGACTTACAGAGCTATTAATTTTGGAGATTTATTTACCGCGTCAAGCCACTTAAGTGTTCATCAGTTACGACTTCATTTCTGTGAACGCGCAGGAAGTAAAGGATTTGACAACTGAGAAATCTGTTTCAGAAAATGCATCTTCAGCAAATCTACTTCATTGTAGCTAGATGGGGATAGGAGTGAAGGCGAAGAGTTTTCGTTACAAAATTTTGCTATTAATCCTTAAATATTTGTCCAAGAACTTAATATACATGTGTTTCTCGTTCAGCCTCTAGCGGCGCGACGACAGAACCTGTACGTTAGGTCATGCACTTTTGACGGTAACGTAGTTTTCGTTGCACAGTTTGACTTGGAAGTATGGTGATAGGGATTGTCATAGTCCACTGCTAATAAGCTGGTTTGTGTTGGTACTTTTCTTATTTATGTAAAAAATAAAGATACTAGATAGGTTGAACCTACCCAATCTTTCTATTTTGGGGAAGCCGCGGCTTCTCTATAGCGGCCATAGAAAATTTTGGGGAAATGGTACAAAACTCCCCAAAAATTGGGGGAACCCCAAAGTCGGGAGGTTGGGTACATAATATAAGGACGTATATATATATATATCACAAATATATATATTTGTGATCCATATGAGGGTTCACTTCAGCCTTTAGAGATTAATCAATTGATCATACTATTGCAATGTTTGTTACATACTTACGCAGTATATTAGGTATTTATACTAATAGTGTAATCACTAGCGTTTTGCTTGAGTCTCTGAAAAGCAATTTACCTACTGACTGTCGGCCGTATGAACTTTTTGATTTGACCTATTAAGATCATACTTGGAGCACAATGCAGTAGTTGCTGAACGATATAACCTATTGTTAACAGTTCGTAATTACTGGGTTAGTATGTCTTCTCACTTCACCTATTTGTAGCAGTTAAACTGGAGAAGCCTTAGCTGCCAAAAGTATACCAGCTGGTAATAGTTGACTTTCAGTATTGACATTTGTATCTACAAACTTATTTACAATAGGTAACTGGACTGCAGTCCCTTCTGTTTGAATCCAATTTCACCAGTTAATACTTGTTGTTCGTCCTAAAATAGCAAATTTCATGCCGTTCATCTTTTTCGTAACGCAAATCCTGTTTCCCACTGATATAAGATTTCAGATTCGTGTAGAAAGGACAGAACACATACGGCCTATGTTATTCTTATTCTAGTATGCTTCTGTGAGTGTCTAGTCTTCTCTTGAATGAATCAATTGAAGATGCACACAACACTGCTTCGGGTAACAGGTTCCAAGAGTTGGTGGCTTGATGCGAAAACCTGTATGCCACCGGTATTTTGTTCGTTTTTGGCTTTTCTACTTGCCTGCTATGTCCTCTGAGATGCCTCAATTTACTGGAAAATAAGAGAAGATATATTGGGTCCAAAATCAATTCTTAGGATTCCATACATCAAAATCAGATCACCTTTTAATCTGCGATAGGATAGAGTAAAGAGGTCTAGCTTTTCAAACCGCCCTTTGTATGGTAAACCCTGGAGTTCTGGAACTGTACATGTAGCTGCTCTGTGTATTTTTTCCAGGATATCCAAGTCACCTCTCAAATAGGGGCTTGCAGCCTGAACGCAATTTTCAAACTTAATTCTTACTAAGGTTGTGTATCCTATAGTGAATATGGTAGTATCTAACTTTGTGAAGTCCGGTTTAAAGCCCATAGGGTTCTAAACCCCTTAGCTGCAACCCCCCAGCAGTGGGCCGTAGTCTTAAGATCATGACTCACCGTCACGTGAAGATCCTTATGAGGTTGGACCACGTGTACAGGCACTTCCTCTATGTTGTACCTATTTACCTTTATATCCCCGAAGTGTATGTTAGCACACTTGGCCGTGTCGATAGGTATCAACCACTCTCTAGACCAGCTAATCACAATATTTAAGTCTGCCTGAAGTGCGCATGCATCTGCGTCTCCCGTTATTTCTCTCCAGATTTTTACATTAGCGTATAACAACATTGGGGACTGTGTGGCGCAAATGTATCTGGTGCCCCCTTGTACCAATATGTGTACAAATAAGTAAATAAACATTGGAGACTCAACTATACTTGGAAAGTCATTTACATACCTTATTAACACAACATGATGAACACCAAATTCATAGAACTAGTTACTTCAGTGGCAGTAAAATATAAAAGAAAGATTGTGTATAAGGATATTATACAGAAAGAAAGAATTAGTTGGTAACAAGAAAGATATAAAGCAATTTTAGTCTCACAGTTTAAGGGAAAACAGAGAGTGTATACACCGACATTATTGTGATCGGTTCTGATCCATGTCACCCAGAGTCTCCGACCATTGGTCACGATAGTCACGCGGATCCCAACCGAGTAGTCTGCATCCACCAGCGTGGCCAGACTAGAAGTTAGTGACTTCAGACACTGATGCCACGTTTTGGTTTGGCTGCCCCTAACTTCCTTCCAGCCATCTCCAACACTTGTTAGGATTGCGTGTCGTGGTAATCGGTGTTCAGGCATACGTAACACGTCGCCCAACTATCTCAGTCAATGAAGATTTACAACCTCATCAACTGATTTACCACCACTCCTTAATACCCTGCGTCTAACCTCACTATTACTTGCCCGCTGATCCCAGCATATGCGAGCAATATTTCTAAGACATTTGTGATCAAACACTAGCAATTTACGAGTATCTTCTACTCTTGGTGGCCACGTTTCGCAGCCGTAAAGTAGAATAGAACGAACTGCTGCACAGTGTACTCGTCTATTAATTGATGGACGGATGTCTCGCCTTTCTCATAGGTGACGTAAGTTCGCAAAAACCAAACCAGCTTTCTGAATCCGCTCAGAGATTTCTTCGGACACCAACCCATTAGGGTTGATAAGACTTCCAGGATAAGTGAAGTTGTCAACGCGTTGGACTACTTCAGTCCCTATCGTTAGTTCAGGTGTTGACGCAGGCTAGTGCTGGAGCAACAATTTGCTTATAGATGGGGAGAAACACATCCCAAACATCCTGGTATTGTGGTTGCATTGTTACATACAGTATAAAAAGTAAAGGGCGTAGAACAGAACCTTGCGGTACTCCAATAAGTACTGATCTTCAAGTATAGCACTTGGAATTTACTCCTACTTTCTGTCTACGACCTACCAGGAAATCCTTAAGCCATTTTAGGAGAGGTCTAGCAGTCCCTAGATTTTCCAGCTTCAAGAGCAGTCTATTTTTTGGCACCTTATGCTTTGCTGAAGTCTATGTAGACAGTATTCACTGATTTTCCATTGTTTAAAGTTTTTATCCATTGCTCCCTTGCTACAAAGAGATTTGTTGTGCAAGATAATCTTTTCTGGAACCATATTGTTTGCTGTTTACCAAGTTGTTGGCTTCCACGAGTGTTATTATGGTCTTTTTGACTATTCTTTTCAATATTTTAACCACAACACTGGCGAGGCTGACAGGTCTGTAGTTCGACGAAAGCTGTCCTGCTTTGTGTATTGGAGTGACGATTGTACCCTTCTAGACCGTAGGTAACACACCTTGGTCAAGTGACATATTGAATATCACAGTTAGTGGGGCTGCAATATATTGTGTAATTTTTCTCAGGATTTTGGGGTGTAGTTCATTTAGTCCCGTTGACTTTTCCGTGCTAAGAGCCTTAAGTACATCGTTTTGATCAAAGTCCACGTTGGGCAGACGGTTTGTTGACTTTGTATTTTGGTCTAGTTCTTTGTCTAGAAGGGGCTCCTGAGTGAAAGCTGTCCTGAAATAGTTTGCCATAGCCTCTGCATTTTGCTGATCATCTATCATTTCAGATCCGCTCTCTTAATTAGGTTGGGAATCGAATACTGCATCCGTGTTCTGTAATTTATGTGCGATAATGGTCTCTCAGGCTGCTTGATTGCAGATTGTGCCAACTGCATTTCATATTTTCTCTGAGCCTCCCGGATTTTAATTATACACTTATTTCTTACCGACCTGTAGCGTTCCATAGCACTTGCTGTGTTAAGGTTGATGGCAACTTTCCAACATTTCTTCTTTTGCCTTAGTAAACATTGAATATCCCGACCTATCCAAGGATGGCCGTGTTTCTTCTTCTTTGGGACTGTCCAGGGTATATATGGTTGAGTTACCAGATTTTGTAACTGCCTGAAATGAGTCCATGCCTCTTCTACTGATGCCCGCTTGTGCTTTCTGTCGTAATTCGGGACTTAAATTCATTCACTTGACTACATCACAAACCACTTTTTTATGTTACTTCCTTATTATTAGGTAGTTGTTTATTTGGTGGGTTACCTTGTGTTCACTGTATATTCTCAACCGGCGTTTCTGTGAAAAGTCACTTGCTGCTTCTTAAAACGGGTCGTTTGTAAAGGAAAAATATGCCATCTGAGGATAAAAAGAAAAAGGCTCAAGCGAAGAAAGATGCAGTCAAAAAGCGAAATCAGAAGCAAACGCGGTCAGTATCAACGGTGTTAGATAACGAGAGTGATGTAAAGGCTGATAAGGAAACCAATTCTACTTCGCAAAATGGGTTATTGTCTCAGTCTTCGAATCACAATCAGATACGTGATGATGACTTCGTGGGTAAGTTCGTTTAGTAATGCTTGAGTCCTAGTATGTTAAGTCATTGTTTTCCCAAGACAATAATTTATGATGCAGTAAACTAGGATCCATTTACGTTCGCTTCGTACTAGCACGATTGGATGTCAACTTCTATACTTTAATCGCTTGATGATCATTTATGTGTTCAGCTATCTGGTCATTCTTTTTGATGTGCCGAATTGATAGTCCTAGAAAATTACAATCTATCATTCTAAGCCGCGGACTCAATAATTACTTTTAATTAATAACCCTCTGCTTATCAGATCACCTCGCAGAATTATGTGAGACATCATATAGTACGAAGTGACATAAAACGCCAGGTTTTAGTGACTAGTTAACGTACTCATCAAATCGTCCCTTCATTTAATTAATATCATTCTTTAATGTTTAGTTTTATTGTCATCACTATTACGGTTACTTTGACTCGTTTGTTATCTATCTCGTTAGTTTCATCGCACTGTGCTAATATAATATGACTTCTATTAACTTACATTTGTGCCACACTATTTTACTAACGACTGTTTCACTTTCTACATCTAATTTGGCGTTTTGGAGGCCAGAAGACTTTTGGAAGAACTAATCCTGGATTTTACCTTAGCTTCAGTTGTTGGGATTGCAAATAAAGCATTTTTTATTTGACCATAATTTGCCACGGAAACGACCTGGGAGTTTCGACATTGCATATTCCAAAAGATTGGACCACTAACAGACTGAATACACCCTAAATGATCCATATATGCACCTGCCATTTAGTTTAATTAATATGGGTTACTGAATTTGAAATCAAGAATTAAATCAAAATACATAAAATGACTAGTCGGTAGATGATGCACATATGCATTCATTCGTTTACTTCTGGATCGCGAATTTCCAAACTATTTTCTACCTCTTATTCCGTGAATTCATCCTCGGATCATCTGCTCTATCTTATATTTCTTACTATCACTGATACCACTACTACTGTTACTATATTGACTAATGAATCCTCGTGTATATGGATTTATTTTCGGAATTTTTATTTAGGTAGTGACGATGAAAATAAGGAAGTACATCAGGCGTTGGTTGAAACCTTGGAATGCCTGGATCTTGTTAGTGAACGTGTTGCCGCTTATCGGTCCGTTACTGGAGTCCTAGCTTCTCATCCTGAGGCTAGAGATGTGCAGTTTTCAAATTTAAGTATCACTTTTCATGGAAAAGCTTTGTTAGCTGATACTCGTTTGGAATTAAACAATGGTCGAAGGTCTGTTATTTGGTTTACTATTGCCTTGTGTTATGGTTCATCTGCTTACATAATCTTTCCTAAACATGTTTGATTTTAAGGGTCTTTATGAACCTATTTAGTCTTATAAGGTAACGGAGATACTAGTAAATACAAATACTTCATCTAAGTCTAACAAGTGATTTCTGAGATTGCCAAACCATGCATTTTAGAAATCTAGGTTCTGAACTCATTCGATCTGGTCCTCTGGGTGGTATCTTAATTTAGTTAAGAAATCTGTCACTTTTTCTCTACTCATAATAGCCCTGTGCTTATATTCGCTAAATTTTCATGTATGGTCAAATGAATCGCTATGGAGCAGTAAAAGGTCGTTTCAGATGTGACAGTTAATTAAAAACTGTTAGAAAGGCTGTCCCAACTAGTTTTCTTTGTACACATACTTTTTTTTCGATTTATGTCTCTAATACAAAATTAGTTAGGAAAATAAGTATATGAATGTTAGCTTGATTTATCGTCGAAATAGGTGTCACATTACTAAGTTATATGTCACCAGTCATCATTCAGGTAGGAGCTAGTATTCACTTTGAGTCATGTGCCATAGCGCATCAACAGGAGTAATGTTCAAGGATTGGAATTAATTTTGACTAACAGAAATCTGAAATTATCGTCAAAGAAGAACAAATGAAACTGAATATTATTATATCCTTCCACATCGATATTATTGGCTTTTGTATGGTTTTATTTTCCCATGGTTCACTTTTTCTTACTTGTTGCTACACCTTGTAAAATACAATATATATGATGCTTACCGATTTACATTTACATTTACGCCTGTTACTCCTCGTGAAGGAACATAGGCCGCTCACCAGCATTCGCCATGCAACCCTGTTCTGGACAATCCTTTCAAGCTCCTTCCAGTTGTAATTCATCCTTTCCATATCTGCTTTTATTTCCCAACGTAATGTGTTCTTTGGCCTTCCTCTTTTCCGCTTCTCTTCAGGATTCCAAGTTAGGGCTTGTCTCGTGATGCAGTTTGACGATTTGCGTAATGTATGTCCTATCCATTTCCATCGTCTTTTCCTAATTTCCCCTTCAGCTGGAAGCTGGTTTGTTCTCTCCCACAAAAGGCTGTTGCTGATGGTATCCGACCAATGGATGTTGAGTATCTTGCGAAGACAGCTATTTACAAATACCTGCACCTTCTTGATGGTGGTTGTTGTAGTTCTCCAAGTCTCAGCTCCATACAGTAGAACTGCCTTGACATTCGTATTGAAGATCCTCACTTTGATATTGGTTGAAAGTTGTTTTGAATTCCATATGTTCTTCAATTGTAGGAGTGCTGTCCTTGCTTTGCCGATCCTCGCCTTTACGTCTGCATCTGAACCTCCTTGTTAATCGATGATGCTTCCCAGGTATGTGAAGGATTCTACATCTTCCAGAGTTTTGCCATCAAGTGTGATTGGATTGCTATTCTCCGTGTTGTATTTGAGGACCTAGGTTTTCCTCTTGTGTATGCTGAGGCCTACTGATGCAGAGACTGCTGCTACACTGGCTGTCTTTATCTGCATTTGTTCATGTGTATGCGATAGGAGTGCCAGGTCATCTGCGAAGTCCGAATCGTCTAATTGATTCTGAGCTGTCCATTGTATTCCGTGTTTTCCCTCAGATGTCGAGGTCTTCATAATCCAGTCGACCACCAAAAGAAAGAGGGAGGGAGAGAGTAAACAGCCTTGTCTGACTCCGGTCCCTACTTGGAATGCATCTGTCAGCTGTCCTTCATGCACAACCTTGCACTGTAGTCCGTCATATGAGTTCCGGATAATGTTGACAATCTTCTCAGAAACGCCGTAGTGTCGAAGAAGTTTCCGTAACGTTCTCCTATCTACACTGTCAACTGCCTTTTCATAATCAATGAAGTTGATGTACAGTGACGAGTTCCACTCAATTGATTGTTCGACGATGATCCGTAATGTCGCAATTTGGTCTGTGCACGACCGATCCTTATGGAATCCAGCTTGTTGATCTGGAAGTTGGGCGTCTACTGCATCTTTCGTCCGGTCCAGCAAAACTCTGTTAAGGACTTTTCCTTGTACTGACAGTAGTGTAATGCCTCTGTAGTTTTCACGTTTGCTCAGGTTTTCTTTCTTTGGAATCTTGATGAGGTGTCCTTCTTTCCAGTCCATCGGCACTTGTTCCTCCTCCCAAATCTTTTCGAATAGAAGGTGAAGCATGTTTGTAGTTACTTTGATGTCTGACTTCAGTGCTTCAGCTGGTATATTGTCGGATCCTGCTTCCTTCCCGCTCTTGATTTGTCTGATGGCCATTCTGATTTCTTCGGTGGTTGGTGGCTTGACATCTATAGGAAGATCTGTATGCGCTGCTTCGATGTCCGGTGGATTCATTGGAGCCGGCCTATTCAGGAGTTCCTCGAATTATTCTACCCATCTGTTCCGCTGTTGTTGAATTTCAGTGATTGGCCTGTCTTCTTTGTCCTTGACCGGTCTCTCTGGTTTACTGTATTTCCCTGCTAGTTTCTTCGTTGTATCGTAAAGTTGTTTCATATTTCCTTCTGTTTCAGCCTTTTCTGCCGTCGTTGCTAGTTTTTCCACGTACTTCTTGTCGGCTCTAATGCTCTTCTTCACTCGTTTGTTTGCTTCTATGTATTCAGCTTGTGCTTGGAATTTCTCTGCTCTTGTTCGGCTGTTGTTTATTGCTGCCTTCTTGTTCTTCCTTTCTTTGGTCTTGTCCAGTGTTTCTATAGAGATCCATTCCTTATGATGGTGCTTCTTTAGACCCAGAACCTCTTGAAACGTTGAAGCTAATGGTTCTTTGGTACTTTTCCAGTTGTCCTCCATAGTATTTTATTCTTCCTTCAGTAGATCCCGTACAGCGTGCAACCTGTTGTTGAGAGCTATCTTGAATTCGTTGATTTTGTTAGTATCTCGAAGGAAGGCTGTATTGAACCTTGGTAATGTTGTTTGTCCAGTTGTCCAGTTCTTCTTTAGCTTCAGTTTTAAATTGGCCACAACTAGGTGGTGATCTGAAGCTATGTCAGCTCCTCTCCTGGTTCTCACATCTTCCATTGTCCTTCGGAACTTTTTGTTGATGCAAATATGATCTATCTGGTTCTCTGTAGTGTGGTCCGGTGAGATCCATGTAGCCTTGTGTATACGTTTGTGTGGAAATGCTGTGTTGCCTATGACCAATATGTTGATTGCACACAGATTTGCAAATCTTTCTCCACTTTCGTTTCTCTCACCCAGTCCATATCGTCCCATGATATCTTCATATCCAGTGTTGTCTATTCCAACTTTGGCATTTAGATCTCCCATCAGAATGGTGAGGTCCTTTCTTGGGCACTTCTCTATGATTGACTCCAGCCGCTCGTAGAATTGATCTTTAATGTCGTCGTTGGTATCATTGGTGGGTGCATAACATTGGATAATATTCATTGTGATCCCCTCCTTCTTTGTTTTGAATGATGCCTTGATGATTCCGGATCCGTGAGATTCCCATCCTACAAGTGCATTTCGTGCTACTTTGGGCGGTATTAGAGCAACTCCCTGAATGTGCGGAGCATTTTCCTCTTCGTGACCGGAGTATAGTAGCATCTCTTCCGTATTTAGCCTTCGTTGTGCAGCTTGGGTTTAATGGGTTTCGCTGATTTTCAGTACTGCTAAGTTGTTTCTCCTCATTTCCGTTGCTATTTGACTTGTCTTCCTGGTCTCCCACATTGTTCGGACGTTCCATGTACCTATAAAAATTTTTCCCTGGTTGTTAGAAAGGGCATTTGCCTCGTGGCTTCCGAAGGAACTCGGCTTTCACCATGAAGCGTCGTAATTCTTCTAAATGAAGACCTAACTTTGAGGGCAGAGTTTAAATGGTTTGAATTATTTTTTCTGGTTAGCGTTTTTTAGCGAGTTAGTTTTCTACGGGATGGGGACGCTAACCCCATACCCAACCCTCCTATTCCCGGGCTTGGGACCGGCAGTAACTCTGGAAGAGCTACAGGCGGTGTGGCGGAGCGGTCTAAGGCGCCAGAATCAAGAGTGTTCTTACCGATTTAATAGTGTAATAAATAAATACGAAGTCCCTGCTCTCTTACTTAAATACGTCGTTGTCTATAATGATTCCATTCTATATTTGGTCGCGTAGATCCGCTCCCATATTGTCGAATTATATGGGACGACAATGAATTGGACAACGCCTCTGCGGCTAAATTTGTACCATATCACGCACCATTTCCAACCATGGTTTGCAGATAATATTGTATAGGAAAGAGACTTCAAAAATAAACTATTTCAACGCGTAAATGCACATAATAATAGTAATTGACGTTCTTCCGATTCAAAAAGAAATAAACAAAAGTATCAGTTTTTCATGATTAAGCGAAATATTTATTGTAGATTATTTATTTTATTTATTTGAACACATAAATATTGGTACAAGAGGGCACCAAATATATATGCGCCATACCATATTTGTGTGTTTGGGCTGTGATACTGCCCGGGTGCCCAGACCGAAGCAGGTGGTTTTCTTAGGGGGGCACACCCCGAGCCTTTGACCTAAAGGTCTGATCCACAAGGCAGTGGAGCATCGTGAGGAAATGCATTCCCATGGTAGCCGGTGACGAACGATTGGTTCATACCCCATTTGTTCCTCCAGGATACTGGAGCCCATGTGCACCATTGGTTTGGGATCTGGTTAAAGCGCCAGACATTCTCTTTTCATCCTCTCATTTTCGTAAACAACACCCCCGCCACGAGAAGGCAGTGAGTAGGACTTCCCTGGTAGAGGCTGTATACGCGTGGCCGTGTGAGAGCATTTCGAGAGGGAGGGAGGGCCCACCCCACTCTCTGCCATACCAGGGCATTTGGGGGCATGTATTGTAGATATCATCTATAAAACAGATCTCACATGTATCTTACTAACTTCTGGTTTAGATGTACTGTGCACTGATTTCTTTAAATTACTGTCATGTATTGCCAAAAGCGATCGTTATGCTTAGTCTTGGAGTTATTTTTAATGGTGTCCATTTTTGGGATTCCATTTATTGAATTTATGAGAGCCAATTAAACGATCTTTAAGTCACATAAAACTTTGTGGTTGAAATCTATAAGACTAATAAAACGTTATTTACATGTTTAAATGTAAATCCCGTATGTATTGTATTTCAGATATGGATTGATTGGCTCAAATGGTTGTGGCAAATCTACTCTTCTCGCTGTAATAGCCAATGGAGAACTTCCTGTACCACCTCACATTGATATTTTTCTGTTGCAACGTGAAATGGCACCAACAAACAAAACTGCATTGGAGTGTGTAATGGAAGTTGATGAAGAACGTGTACGTTTAGAACAAGAAGCTGCACAATTGGCATTAGATGATGATCCTGGTAACACTAATAGATCTCTGTTTAATTCATCCTAATTCGATGTTTTTGCTTTTAAGTCATTCGTCTTTTTCCGGTTCACTTTTTCTGTAAATAGACCTAAAGAACATAGTAATGTCACAAAAAAAATAATATTTTTTGAGTAGACACTCGTATGTCAGTCAATGAATATTAACTAGAAAGTTCAAAGAGTAACTGTTTATATTGCTGGAAATTACCACGATAATTACACGAAAAAACTAGTAAAACCGATGAAATACAAATTTATTATTCAACTGTGCATTATACAAAGTATTTATGCATTTCGTAATTCGTACTCAACTCTTGTCAAACATTTTTCATCATAAACTAGTATAGTTCATATAATCTAAATGAGTAGTATCGGTCTAATATGATTCAAAAAGCCTACTTTTTATGAGTAATATGTAAATTCATTCTGGTATTGAGTTTGCATTGCTCACATATCTCTGTTACTAGAATATTATGTGGTGTAATAAATCATATGTATTTTATAAACGTCAGGTAAGGTAAGTTTTTCTTTACGAAATGTTTCTTTGGTTTATACAGTAACGACTATTTCAGGCTGGTAATTGTTCTCATTATATGCGAAAATAAACGCTTGCTTACATTATTTTTTCAAATCTCACAATTTTAGAAACACATGAACGTTTACTAGAGGTTTATCAACGCTTAGACCATTTAGATGCGGATAAAGCTGAAGCAAAAGCAGCCGAACTTCTTCATGGTTTAGGATTTACCGCCGAAATGCAAAAGAAAGAAGTAAGACTTAAAGTGAATTGAATCGTTCGTGAATTCTGTGAAACCCAATCATTTTATAACTCAATAGTTGATTTTATATAAACCTTTTTCCTATAGGTTCGTCATTTTAGTGGTGGTTGGCGAATGAGAATCGCTTTAGCCCGAGCTTTATTCGTTCGTCCTGCATTACTGCTACTGGATGAACCAACAAATCATTTGGATTTGAATGCATGCGTTTGGTTAGAACGTCAACTAGTCAATTATCCACGGTGTTTAGTTATAATATCACATTCACAAGATTTTTTGAATGGCGTTTGTAACCACATTATTCTGATGAACAAGCAGAAATTGACCTATTTCGGTGTAAGTTCGTTTTTTCTCTAACTATGTAGTATAATTATGGATTTATTTGAACTTCGTTTTACTCATAGTATTTTAACTCCGTGATGTTTATATATATTCATTTATGGAAGTATTGATCACAAGTAGGAATATATACCACCGTTTTATCTAAACTAACACTCATATACTCTTATTTGATACTTTATGTACATAACCCAAAATTCCATCTAGGTAGTTTTATTTTAGGTGCACGTATATATATATTCTTGTGTTATGTACATAAGTACTCATTCACCGGGTTGCAAAGGGTTTCTAAACCATTTGTCGGTACTTAAATCGGTCAAATGATTTTTTAAAGCTGGCTTAATATATAATTTACGTAGTAATGTAAGCATAATTAATAAATCGTACAATCGTTTACTGAAATTGTTCTATCTTTCCATGAATTTTGTCAAATAAAAAATGTCTCGCTTTTTTATGTTGGTGATGTCAACAGTAGGGGAATGTTTTTTCCGAAAGGGTTTATGTTGATTATAAGCCTTAGCAATTTGCTTGGACGACCTGTGCTAACTATGGCTGAAAGATTATTATATGGTTCTCATCAAACTATATGATTTGTTGAGAATTGTATATATGTGAGGATATCCGGTAGATATCCCCTATACGTAAGCTTTTCTACTACTACTGATACTGTTACGACTACTACTACTATTCTTAGATTTGCCTAGAAATAATTTCGTTTCGTTATGCTAATGTAGTATGACACCCTGAAACGATCTACGTGTCAGGTTCTACGTTGTTTATAAATGACGCTACTGAATAACACGTCATGCCTATTACTCCAATTTATATAAGTAGCTGAAATATTTATTAAGTATTTTTATTATTAAATTTTTTTTATTCAGGGTAACTACGATCAGTATGTACGCACTAGGTGCGAGTTGGAGGAAAATCAAATGAAGCGGTTCAAATGGGAACAAGATCAGATTGCTTCAATGAAGGTAAGTTAACATATCAAGTCAAGAATTTTCAAATTCAACCACACTTTCATTGCTTTCTTTAATCGTCGGTTAGAGACTTCAGTTTTAGGTCTAGAGAACTGCGTAGTTAAAAAGCTTAATGGTATTTTCCTTTAACCTCTATTAACTTCTAGGATTACATAGCTAGATTTGGACATGGAAACAAAAAAATGGCACGTCAGGCACAGAGCAAAGAGAAAGTTTTACAGAAAATGGTAGCTGGCGGTTTAGCTGAACGTGTTGAGGGAGATAAGACTCTGACATTCTACTTCCCTGACCCTGGAAAAATACCACCACCTGTTATTCAAGTTCACCAAGTCAGCTTTCGATATGGACCAGATAAGGTAAGACTAAGTATTATTCTAGTGACTTTTAGCTGATGTTAGCATTTCTTACGTAATGCATTTGCTATTAAACAGTAACATATAACTTATTCAACCATATGACTGATGATTATAATTCCCACAAAAATACTGTTTAAGAATATTGTGATCCTTTACTATTCGTCTGTGTACTTCTCTGAAACCTGATTATAAATTGTCGACCTACAAATTATACCTCTGTGGTTCATTGTTTAGTCATGGACGTGAGATTAGTGAATAATTTATCAGTGTACCCGCTACTTAATTGGCTGCTGACAATTTCGAGCACCACAAATGATACTGCTTTTTTTTACCGAGACTCCTCGACAATTTATAGTAATATATCATTCTGTAAAATGACCGTATAAAGTAGAAAAAGTACCATAAATGTTTTGCTTGATCTACTTTACATATAAAGTATATTTATTGTTTAAACTTCAATGAAACAACTCAAAATCTGTTGCAGTAATACTAAGACATCTACTCTTTGTCTCCATTCAAATTTTGAACTTAGTATTGTTCCAGAGTTCAATTTCCTATGAACCTTTTGAAGTGCTTAGTTTACCGCTACTTCAATTTAGGTTTGATTCCTGACTTTCCTGTCTCTATATTAAAACTATTTTCTCAATCTGGATCGTTAGTCTTTGTATCGAGTCACAAGTTTATTATGTTTATCTACTTAAAGTGTCTTCATTCTATATCTCTGGTTAGTATTTGTTTATAAGTTCTCTTTATAACAAAAATGAGCTACCATTTATTCAGCTTAGTCCAACCCCTTCCCAGCCTATCATAACAATTTACGATGAAAACACAAATCCACAAAATTAAGAATAGGTGGGCACAAATGCTATTACGATTTAGACTTGAATACGTACACTGGAATATAGGAGAGTCTGGTTATTCAATAAGTGATTCTTTGGGTCTGTTTCAATCATGGAGTATTTTGTAGCATCTACTGTAACGATGCTCACTAATGGACATGAATAATAAAATGAAACCTTAAGACTCGTATGTACAAATGGGATTTAATTAATAATGTGAACAACATATATAAATATAATATTTGGTCTTAAATGAAATGGTTTATAGTGCAACAAGTACATATATTTTTATAAGTATACGTGAGACTAACTTTTTTTTAGTCAGTTAAGAAATAATAAACGTTTCACATTTTAATACTTTCTTTCTCACCTACAATGTCATCGATAGATGATGTGATTAATTAAAGCAACAGTCTAAACATGAATGTGTTCTATTTTCAGACTATGATGTTTACTTCAACCTGTATTATATCCTTATGTGCAATATTTCTTTTATATTTTATTACCATTGAAGTAACTACTTATATGTATTTGGTGTTCATCTTGTTGTGTTAATGAGGTATGGCAACTTGGACCGATACATATATGTACCTAGTCCTACATTGTAGCTGACTGACTGACTTCAACCTGACAAGTAAATAATCATAGCGTAAAATATTGATGGTTGTCTATCACTCTATAAATATACCGACGTTTTCCCCTATTGTGCTTCCTACTGGCTTCTGACTTGCTATTTGGAATATAATCTTTTTCCTGTTCAACCGTGTTCTGATTTGGGGACTTGTCGAGTGAATCGGTGTCCGAGAATACTAAGCAATAGGAACAGCTGGGTCGTTAACCGTAAGAAGAAAGAGAATTATAACACACTCAAAAACACATATTAGTGAGGACTGTAACGTTATTGTTTGATCAATCGAATAATTTAATATCTTTTAGTTAAATATTTTAAAATAACTAAAAGGAAATTGTGGTTATACCAATTACTGTGTAAAATGACTTGTTTTCATTAATAATTCTTCCAGTTAAAATTTTTTTATTCAATTACAACTAACACTTCCGATTAAAATAAAGTGGTTATAGTTTAATTATTTTAACACGAATTGAATCACCAAGTGTTTCGTAAACGTTTGAATTCATTTCAACGGTATCTGTATGTTTATTCATCTGTAACAGCTGGACAAGGTGTAAGACCTTATCACAATATATACGCATCCAAGTTAAATGGATGAACTAGATCAGAATAGTTTCTCGGCTATATGTGTTAAGTTAAATTTTATTTTATTTTAAAGCTTAGATCTGTTCTCAACCTTGAAAGTTGTGTTTTGTAGCCTTGGATTTATCGTAACATTGATTTGGCCATCGATTTAGATCGTCGCGTTGCTTTAGTCGGCCCGAATGGTGCAGGGAAATCAACTTTGTTGAAGTTAGTCGCTGCTGAGGTAGGCATTATAGTTAATCCTTTTAGATACTTATTTACACTATACTACCACATTTATTTTGAACTGTGAATAAATCATCATAGTATTTTAACAGATATTGCATGCTTCCTGAGTAAATTTATTTTGTGCTTAATTCATTACAGTTGGATCCAACTGATGGTCTTGTTCGCCGACATTCACATGTTCGTATGGGTCGTTATCATCAGGTGGGAGACTATTCATTTTTACCTTACCTTTAGTTAAAAGTGAAAATGTGTTTTAGAAAGCATAATTAGCATACTTTAAAATTGTTAATATTTCATTGCTTTTCGTAGCATCTACACGAAATGTTAGATATTAATATGAGTCCAGTCGATTGGATGATGCAATGTTATCCGGAAATTAAAGAACGTGATGATATGAGAAAATTACTTGGACGTTACGGTTTGTCAGGGCCTCAACAAGTTAGTTGTTTATTTGAACGTATTAATTTTTGTTAAATGTTTCCACTTGGCAAGGATTTATTTGGTTGGGTGGATTTACGCTTTGAAATTGTAAACATTTTTTCTTGAAATCAATATCTTAATTTGTTTCTTTCCAACGGAATACATGTTGACTAATTTTGTATCCGAATTATGATTATTATGCAAATAAATAACATCAACTTTTTAAAGCTGAGTAGCCTATTATTAGTTGGCTTGCCAACTTATCAAACTTCACGCTCATTTTATACTTTGAATTTATGTTTTTCATTGATTTTAAAGCATAAAATCATATTTTACAGGTGTGGTGTGTGGTACATATTCACTGTTTCGGTATGCTATTTTTGCCAGACTATTTATTTAGCTTTATTTTGATATTGTGTCAGATCTCATAACAGAAGTAAAGCTAGTATTCCCTTCAGCTTAGAAATAGAACGAATTTAAATAAACATACTTAGGTTATCTAGGCATGAAAACAAATTAGTACTTTTGTAAAGTTCCCATAACTTCAAACGAATAGTATTTAAATATTATTTTTTGGGTGTTTAACAGAATATTATTATTATCTAAACACATAAACATTGGTACAAGGAGGCACTAAACAGATATGCGCCACATAAATCATTCGATTTGTGTGAGGGCTAGAATACTGCCCGAGTGCTCAAATCGAAGCAGGGTTAAACAGAATAACTACCATACTATAATCATATGGAGTTTTTGTTTGTTATAAATGAACTGTACCAAAGATGAATGTTGTGCTGTACATATATATATGCATACTGCTAAAAAATTCTCTCTTAAAGCATTCCAAACATCAATCTAACTTAAACAAGGTTAATTAAATTTAACTAGGTATAATAAATAAGATTTATTCGCTTTTTCATTAAGCAATAATGTGACTGATTCCTATGATTGTAATATCAACTATCGTACACAGGTTTATCAGTAATTTTGTTACTTATATGGCATGGCACTTTGGAGTAACATACATTTGTATGTTATTGTATGTATATTAGTTTATAACATGAGTGACCAAGTGACCATTTTCTGTTGTAATTTTTGTTAATACCTCATGTTACCTATTTACAAAACTTCTGTATAATTTCAGGTATGCCCTATTCGTACATTATCTGATGGACAAAGATGTCGGATTATATTTGCGTGGCTTGCTCAAAAAGCTCCTCATCTTTTGCTACTTGACGAGCCTACAAATCATTTAGATATTGAAACAATAGACTCACTAGCTGAAGCTATCGATAATTTCGAAGGTGGTCTACTACTTGTTAGCCATGACTTTAGGCTAATATCTCAGGTATGTCTTCGAGTTTCCTTTCCGTTTTGAAACTTCATGCTAGCTTTGACTACATTCCGTATATTAAATGTAGTTACTTACTTACGCCTGCTACTCCCAATGGAGCATAGGTCACCAACCAGCATTCTCCAACCCATCAGATCCACCGTGTTAATTAATGATACTGCCCAAATATGTAAAGGTTTTTACATCTCCCAAATCGTCTCCGTCAATTGTGATTGGATTGGTGCATGCTGTATTGTATCGGAGAATCTTGCTTTTCCCTTTGTGTATATTGAGAGCTACTGCTGCTCCACTGGTCTTCTTCTCCTGCATTTGTTGTTGTGTGTGCGATAGAAGGGCCAGATCATCTGCGAAGTCTAGATCGTCTAGCTGCATTCTAGATGTCCACTGTATCCCATGCTTCCCCTCAGATGTTGACGTATTCATGATTCAGTCGATCAGCAGGAGAAAGAGAAAGAGTGAGAGTAAGCAACCTTGCATATCACCGGTCTTCACCTCGAACGAGTCTGTCAATTGTCCTCCATGCACGATTTTGCAGTTTAATCTATCATAGGAATTCTGTATGATATTGACTATCTTCTGAGGCATGTCATAGTGTCGAAGAAGCTTCCATAGTGTTGTCCTGTCCACGCTGTCAAATGCTTTTCCGTAGTCAATGAAGTTGATGTAGAGTGATGAATTCCATTCAATTGATTGTTCCACAATGATCCGTAGAGTTGCGATTTGGTCTGTACACGATCTATCCTTACGGAATCTTGCCTGTTGGACTCGAATTTGGGCGTCTACGGAGTCCTTCATCCTGTTTAACAATACCCTGTTGAAGACTTTTCCCGGTATTGAGAGAAGAGTGCTGCCCCTGTAGTTATCACAGTTGATGAGATCGCCTTTCTTCGGTATTTCGATCAGAAATCCTTCTTTCCATTCTGTTGGTACTTGTTCTTTATCTCAATATTAAATGTATTAATGTAACTTATTTCCAAAGCGTACTTTTATATACTTGACTATGGGGCCGTAATGCTTAGTCCTATGTCAAGCCCATATGGAGTTGTCTCACTTGTCTTCTCCGCCTTGCTTCTCTCTCTCTCTCTCCATCTTTTATTTCTCCACTTCGTTTCTCTGGTTTTCTGTCTTGATCAACGAGTGTACGTAATATACGTATCTAAAATTCATTCTCGTATTTATTCCGTCATTCACTAATGCGAACAAAGTTGAAAATTATGTACGAGGTTATCCTGGTTGTATATTTCGATAATATCATCATATGATTACAAAAGTGGACATTCAGAATATGACATGGAACTAGACACTGCAAGGCAACGGCTATTTCCCCCCCCCCAAAAAAAGAAGTTTGTTAAATATTGTTTAAACCATCCTACCTACTGATTCGAAATCGAGTAGTAAAACGATTTAGTCATCACTTATATTTTCATCATAAGTGTCCTTCAGTGATCATGTTACTTAAATCACAAGTTCTAACTCTTTACTGAGTAGTAGCTTTAAGAAGGGACTATATTATTACTAGTGATTTCATTATACCAAATCACTTTGGATGACTAATTAAGACTAGTCGAACAACTTTTTTAAGCGTTGTGTTATTCACTCTATACTTTTTGAAACTTACCGTTCTCGCCAGAAATCCTTCAGGTCAAAAAATCTGTAATACTCTTCTGGATTTATTTTTCTAATACCTGTCTATAAAAATAGTATTAATAAATATGAAATATCACTTCAATTCTGCTTTGCTTTGTAGAACTACATGAAACGAGGGTTGGAAGCATTGTAACTTCATGCAGTCTTTATGGATAACTAAAGTCGATCACTGCAATAGAGTTACAGTAATAGTTGTGACACATTGTTTTACAAACAGATTACTGTGTTCCTGTTTTTGAGCGATAAGCAAACCTGTACATTTGACTCACATACATCACTTTTTCCATACTAAGTTATTTTTACAGTATAATTTTACCTACCTTCTATTTGAATCACAGTTGCTTTTATAACTGTGAAATAATTACTTAGGCGTTGTTTAGTTTCCTTGCACATACACTTCAAATCAAATTGTCGAAATTGTGACTAACAATTCCAGTGAAATGTATTGAAAAATTGTTAAAAGCATAATGACTAATTGCAGTTCCCTTCACATATTAATTTAACTTTAGACCACCCATATTAGTTAAAGAGTATCTGATTAATGAAAGCAAACCATCTAAGATATTTTCAGAAGTTATTACTTTGATTGTTCAATCTTTTTAAGCTTACACGATTTACTTGGAAATCAATTCAACATATTCTTATATCAATCATTATTCTTTTTTATACTACTAATAAATTAGGATCAATATAATACGATATTTCACAGGTTGAAATCATGAGTTGATTGAAGCTAGACCATGGTATACGGTGGCGCAACTTCGTGGATTGGTTGAAGTTAGACATTAACACCGTTAGATGCCGGCTCAGTGGTTAAGTGCTCGCGCGCGAAGCCAGTAGGTCCTGGGTTCGAGCTCCGCGTGGTGCGGGATCGTGGATGCGCACTGCTGAGGAGTCCCATACTAGGACGAAACGGCCGTCCAGTGCTTCCAGGTTTTCCATGGTGGTCTAGCTTCAATCGACTCATGATTTCAACCTGTGAAATTTCTAAAACTCTCCACAAAACCCATTCTGATAATACGATATGTTTTGTATTGAGAATATTGAAGATGTTCAATGTTTTTTTTAAGGATCAAATAAATTTTGCTTCACTAATAATTTTTTACCGTTTGTGTTCTTTTTTTAGGTTGCAAAAGAAATCTGGGTATGTGAGAATGGCACTGTAACTCCTTGGGAAGGTGATATTTTCTCTTATAAAAAACATTTGATGCGAAGTGTTTTAAATGAGTCTCAATAGTTTATAAATATTCTTTTACCAAGATTTATCATTAATATATACATTGGTATATTATATGTACAGCATTATAAATATTCTCTGTGTCTTAATCCTATCACAGATTTTTATTTTGTTTCTTTCCTGGATAAAAATAGTAAATTTTGAGATTCTGTTTAGCGAAACTACATTTTGGCTGAGAATTTCTTATGTAACACTGTTATATTGTGTTTATTGTTTAGAAATATAAAGTTTTGGGAGTGACAACTTTTTTGACCTTTTTTATTCACAAGTCTATTTATTTTTACGATATGTGTTATAACTTGTGGCCTGTATGCCCTATTAATGTATAACGTAACGATAACGTCAGTTAGAGAGCAGTGAATCATCGATCGGACCAATGATGCTTAAAATCCGTACGAGCAGTCTAGAGTACTTATCGGCTCCGCTTCCTGCCTAACCCAGCCAGTTAAGTCCAAAACACCAATCTCAGCCTGTGTGACATGAATCATTTATTTCAAACATACTTGGTTCATATACCAACCAGACAGACCACATCGTACCAATAAAATAAGAAACAACATTTATACAAGATTTGGCCAAATGTGGCTGTGAATGTAAGAGGTAGTAATTAATGGACAGGCCATAATTCAAGAATGGTAAATCGTATAATAACAGTCCATAGGTCAAAATAAAGCTCATAATAAGAGGGACACGAATGTGTATAGTTATTTGACAATTATACGATAAAAATATACGCATAGTATTGCTCCATAAATGGATCCCAAAAGTTACCATTCAGTATGCTTATCGGGACATAACAATATGTTGTGCGGATCAAAGACAGTTATAATTAGTGGCAGTTGCCTGTATATTTTAACAATGAATTCCATCGTTAGTTAATAGAAATTGAATAGCACAAATGACATAAACGGAAGCCAACTTGTTTCTGGAATTTCTCTCTGCTTGCGCTTTTTTTTTTACTCGTGATACAATTTAGTCAATCTAACAGACTGATACGATGGGCGAGGTCTTAATCCAGTGGAGTGTGAGTAACCTACACAATTTACTCCCACGAATTAGCTATGACATTCAGTCATTATTTTCTTAGTACTTTATGCACAAGTATGCTGGTGTACTAGAGAAAAATCCGATTCTACGGCTCATATATATTCTAACGTCAGTTCAACGTGGGAACTTACGTCAATATTTCGGACTTTTAAGGAGCCACCATTTGGTAACTTCATATCATCTATCGACAAACATTATTTTCTCTATTTCTAACTAGTGTTAATTCATTTATAAAATCCTACTTCATAAATAGACACTGGGTTTTGTCTGAACTCGGTTTCTTATACAATTATATCACTGTTCATAATTGTAACTCGTCGATTGGTTGATAAAATCTTGAAATAGATTAACTGAGTCAATTGAAAATTTTGCTAACAATGTTGATATCCAAATTCCAACTGGATGGATTACGTAAGACGAACGTTGATTGATTTCGTGACTCTATAAATATTTTGAAATTTAAATGATTTTCTTTTTACGAAATATCCAACTAAAATAGTATAGCTGAAAATTAAGGATGAAATCAAAGGTCACAAAACAACTAATAATTATTCATTTCTCCCTATAGAATTAGTTTTTATTAGAATTATATGAAAATTCTAAATAGAATTCACTGTTGAACCGGATAATCATAATCTTAAGTTATTTACGAACTTTCGTTAACCAATTTTCAATCATTGGTATATGTGATTGATTCTCAAGAGGCTGGATAAACATGTGACAGATCTGTTATCAGATAATGAAGATAACGGAAATATAAACTCTATGGTCGTATATATTACTTATGTTGACAGAAACAAGTAGTATGTAACAACGATCAAAAGTGGAATTCCTCGCAACAAAAGGTTGAGATCAAATTGAAGAGAGCGGGAATGTAAACGGAGAGTAATTGTAATAAGAACGAAGGAACGATGGAGTTTAATACAATGCAAGTGAAGTATTTAATGTATTGTTTTTCATGTTTTACAAAAGAACTCTGTAATTTTGCTTTGAATAAATAAAGTGTTTATCCCCACCTGAATTCTCGTCCACTGCATGACTACTGTGTTTTCTGTTGAACTGATGTAATGACTCATAAAATATAGCTTTTAACTAGTTTAAGTATTTCTACTGAGCTTAGGTAAAGTCGTCAAACTTGGTCTTCCAATCATTTGCGTCGATCCTATTCGGTCAACTACGTAATTGTATTGTGTGAAAATCAATTTGGTGATCGTTGCATTACAGTCAAGGAAATGAACGTTTTTTCATGTTTATCAGTTTGAATATAATTAAGAGTGAATATTCAGATAACCAATGAATTAATAAGACCAAATATTTCCAACTATAATTCGTTTGTTCTCCTTTATATTAGTGGTATTGTTTTGCTTGACACTCAAAGATATGTGGCTTCTCTATTTACGTAAACGGTTTTGACTTTATCAATCACTGTGTGGAAATTCATCTTGAATAAACAAATAAATAATCTGATAGAAAAGTACATAATCGTTGTTTTATGATGTACTGCATTTGTATACTTGTAGTGATTTGGCTTCGAGATAATTACTTAGGCTTCGTATATAAATTACCCTGATAACCGTTATTAAGCGACTAACATTTAGGGTAGAGTGAGGATTATGAGCATAAGCTTTCGCACGTGATCAAGCATGCATTTTCATACAGGCGTGATAGTGATAATAATAATAATACAAAGTTATAGACAAGTTGTTACTGTTCCAATAACACAAATAAGTTAATTGAAGGACTTGACAAAGTTAACCATAAACAAACTTAATTGTAGGAGAGGTGCTACATACTTACACCACCAAATAAGTCATTCAGTCAAAAGGAAAGTAGACCCTGACACATACATCGGTTAAGCTCACCACATATCAGCGCAGAAAGATGAAATCATCAAGACAAATACCGGAGTAGTAGAAGCAGTTTCAGTGCAACAGGAAAGATTAGGCATAGACGGTATGATTAGAGAATAAAGAGAAATTTTCTTTGTCAAATGGTATGTGGATTTCAAGACATTGAACACATCTGTTCCACAACCATCGATTTTAACCTACGTCTCCGATCACTGCTTATGATAGTCATGTGGACCTTGACCAGATGGTGTGAATCTACCTTCACAGTTCAGTCCAACATCTATGGATTGTTCCCACGATTTGGTTTGGGCTGATCAAATCAGTAATGAAGTATCATACCTAAGAAATATTTGTAACATTCATTTTTGATTTCAACTTCTCACTGATTTTCTCATAAAAGAGCTTTAGTCAAGATGTCGTGTTTTGTTGCTGTAAAATAACTTCTCTCAAACAACTTTACGTTAATGAAATATTTCTTAAAACTTTGAAAATGCAATAAATCCGCATTTCACCCACAATATAATTACTTCTAATGATTAATGTGAGTAATTT